TGGCCATTCTAACACCCTTGTTGCGCCCACTGCTACGGTAACCCATCTCTAGTCGTCACCTCATACAAATTTGGCTTTGCCAAGGATAACTGCTTTCTGGTACACTTTTGGGCCGTCTTATGTAGGACTCGGCGAGATGACTCAGATCCGATATTAAGAATGCGCTCCAGAGCTGAGGAGTAATCGTTCAACCTGATCGACGAAATCGGGGAAGCGCTTCAACAGCGGAGCAGAGTGCCGAGTTGTCCTCGAGAACCGTCCAGGTCAAGACTCGACGACTGCCAACAGAAGGCGCGGTGTTCAACGATCAATACGCAGGTGTCGATATCTTACAGCATTACGTTCGTCTACAGCCTTTCGCGTTCTCTTCTTCTTCACATATCCATCGACAAGAAGTCCCCAACGCGCTGCATAAACAGCTCCCGCTCCTCATAATGCGGCATGTGGCTCGAATTGGCGAACGTGAACCACCACACTTTTGAAGAGATGTGCTGGAAGAAGGGCTGCACGACGCTGTCTTGCGCCTCGTCGTAACGGCCGTTGAGGACCAACGTCGGGACGTTGATCTTGGGCAATTCGGGGATGATCGACCACGTCTTGAGCGAGCCGGTGATGTGGAACTCAGACGGGCCGTTCCTGCCGGAGCGGTCAATGTCAGAGTTCATTTTCGGGCATCCTCCCCGTATGCGCCAGCCTTCCTCGTCTTTGCAGATTACTGTATATACCGCCTACCATAGGGCTCCGCCCTCACGGGAGATACACGGGATACAAACAAACAAACATATTCGGGTGGAGGGCCACGAGGTGGGTGTGTACGCACATCGTGTAGTAAACCGTCGGGTCCTGTTCAAGTTGCGCGGGGCTTGCTGCGACATCCCTCGGCACGGGGCTCACGCGGCAGACATACTTGGCGTAGAAGACGTCCATAGCCTTGTGGTACTCCTTCGAGTCCGTCGTTCCGTCCTTCTCGTGCTTCGTGAGTGTTTCCTGTCAGAACGTCAGCGTGAACTCCCGCACAGCCCCAGGGAGCGCAGTGTGCGCACCTGAACGTCCGCAGGAAGATCCAAGCGAAGCTTGTTCGCAGACTCGACCCACAAAGCCATGCTCGCAAGAGAGTTCGCGAGGACGAGCCTCCTCAGCCCCTTCGGCCGCTGCGTCGCGAAGCGCGACCCAAGCATCCCACCCCACGATTGTCCGAGCACGTCGTAGTTGCCGTGGATCCCAAGGTGATCGAGGAGATTGTGCAGTTCGTCCACGAAAAGCTGCTCGATCCAGAAGCCGGTGTCGCCATTTTTCTCCTGGAGGTGCGTGGATTTGCCACACCCGAGCTGGTCGTACATGACGACGGGGATGCCGTGTGTCTGGACGAGGTCGGCGATAGAGAGCACGTAGTTGTGCGCAGCGCCAGGGCCGCCGTGGAGGACGACGAGGGGCGTCTTGCCACACTTGAGGTCACCAAAGACCTTGTACCACGTCTTGCACGTCTTCTCGACGCCGGGGACCGTGAACACGCACTCGCCTTCCATGGTGATGAGGGGATAAGATAGACGGGCGCGGTGGCGCACCTGGATCGAGCGATAGTGGCTTTATATATCGCACTCTTCCCCAGGCTCCGCGCTAACCAGATGATGTGTGTCCACCGCAGGTTCGTGCGGGGTTTTTTCACTTCGACAGTGGCGGACGATGTCTTAGGCGAGGAGCAATCAAATGTGGGCGGTGGATGTTGCTCGTTCCGCCCCCCGGCGAATTACAGTAAACAGAACTGCGGACGGGGTCGAAGAATGATCCAAATACGAAAGACCGTGGGACTTACTATATGCGCTACTCAAGTTGCAGCATCCATCCAGACTTCGGCAATGTTATGTGTGACACATTTTCCAGGGAGGTCGTGCTTGAGTGAAGATTCGCCCGCTTCATGAACGCCGGTACTGCGGTGACGTGCTGCATAGATAGAAAGATTGCGACTGGAAACTGAGGCAAGAAGGTCGTGGATAGGAGGAGGAAGCGATGGGAGGCCTCAAAAAGAGTGGTGGACGGCAGAGGTCAAGCCAAGGATATGGATCCCTTCAGCCGAGCCTGGGGCTCTGATGTCGCCGGCCCGGGCGTCCCGTGCCGCCTTCAACTTTGGAGGTCCCGTCTCGACAATCACAGGCTATCCCTCCATCCCCTGCCTTGAAATCTGTTCGCCGGGGGGTATCGATATCCATAGCTAGGGAACCAGTGAAGCGAAGGGGTTTTTGTTTTGTTTTGCAAATACAGCGTGTCCAGTACTCCCTTTGGTCCTCCGCTTGACCAATACTGTCATGTGTGTACCTGGTCAGAACCTCGCTGAGGAAGTGTACGCTGTTGCGCTGTTAAAATCGGTCTCCCGCATGTGATCGGTGAACGACAGCTAGTTCAATGAAGTCAATTTTCGAGCAACCCGGCCGCGGTGGGCCACGCCCCAACATAAAACAGTGTCGTGTCGTCGCATTCTTTAGATACAAAGTAAGCAACCGCATCCGCCTTCCGACTCAGACGTTCTCCTTGAAGCCGAGGTCCATTGAGCCAGTTTGATCCTTCGTGTCCATCGGTCTGAGCGCGAGGGTCTCTGTGCCCCGCGACGCCTTCGGCGACCGGAACTGCATGCTCTGCATCGTCATAGACGAGCCAGAAGGCCCGGAGGCCGCGGTCGCGGACGGCCGGCTGGTCACCGCGCGGCCGGTCGCGACGCGGAGGATGATGACCTCGGGGGAGATGCACTGGAAATGGGAGGGCACGGTCAGCGTCCACAGTCACACAGCACGCAGGCGACGGAGGGGGACGCACCATGATCTGGCTGAGCACGGGCAGGACGAGGTTCTGGACGTACGAGTTCCGGGCGTAGGTGATGATGAAGATGATGCCCGTGATCGCGTAGGGCGCCGCGGACTCGACGAGCATCGTCGCGATCGAGATGTACGTCGACCCGTGCTGCCGGCCGAGCGTGCGCGACGCGTTCCACGACATGTAGTACAGCCGGCCGACGAGCAGGAGCATGAGCAGGACGTTGAGCCCTATCGAGATGCTGAAGTACGGCAGCGTGAACTGCACGGTGAGGTGCGTCCACAGCGAGGCGTCGGGGCGCGAGGCTTGGTAGAGCGTCAGGAAGGACATCGCTGTGCGAGCATGCGGGTGAGTGAATGATCGGAGATTGGGAGAAGGACAGGCGTACCGGTCGAGCCAAGGAACACGAGGAAGGGGAAGATGACGATATAGATATTGTTCCATACAACGTACACACGCCAGAGCTGGAGAGTACCATCAGCATCGACGGAGATGGCGAGGAAAAGGGGAGGCTTACGAGCAGAGCGTCGGCCAGGAAGTTGCCAATAATGTAGCCAGCGTTACCTGCAGTGTTGACACCGATGGAGTAGAAGGCGAACAACCAGGCCATGGGGCCGCCGGGGAAGTCACGGTTGTCGATGAACTGGAGCTGGACTATGCGGGTGTTGCAGGCGAAGTTGAGGGTGCCGGACAAGAAGAGCAGGAAGATGAACAACATGAAGATGGAGCTGCGTGTGCGCATGGCCCTGTTCGTCCGGGCGGAGGTCCACATCGCGTCGGCGCAGAGGACGAAGGACGCCACGTGCACACCTGTGGGCGCGGTGCGCGAGAACAGAAGCAAGTCAGTCGCTGATGTTCGAAGGGGTGCGAGAGAAGATGATGCATACCGTAGGCCACACCGCCCAAGACGGCGCCAACCAGCTGGGACTTCTCCAACCAGAGGTCATCCGCGGTCTCCCCGGGGGGCGCGAAGGGGTTGGTGTCGTTAACGAAGGACATGGCCGGAGGACGGTGGGGAGGGAGAGGGTGGAGAGAGGGGGGTGGAACGCCGAAACGGCTGGCTGACCGCGGGCGCGAGGCAATGATTATAAACAGGCGTTGGCGGACGGGAGCGGTGTGGCCGTATCGCTTGCTTGGACCGGAGGAGCACGCCGGACTGTATGGCTTCAAGGTGTGACATCGGATCGGCAGCTGGGCGCGGGCCTGCAAAGGTGGTCCAGGCCATCGCTGGACCGGGGACCATCGTAATTCCTCCGCCCGTTGTCCTCCCGTTAGGGAACTTCGTGGTGTTGATTGAACCTCAGATGCGGACATTGTATATCCCCGCAACGGCAACAGAGACATTGTATCAGCCAAATGCCAGTCGCCCGCCGTTGGCAGAAGGACGTACAATCAAGAACCTGCTTCTCGGAGGTACAGCGGGGGCTTCTGATCAAGGGACTCAGAACCTGACCGGTCGCCTGGAGAAGGCGTGACCACCGATATGGCCACCTCGTCGCGCCCAACGTCAGACAAGACCGCGGGCTGCACAGCAGCTCTATAGATCGTGATATCTGCCTCATCCCAAATCGATTTTACGGGCCAAGGATGACTGACCGCTGCCAGGATGAATCTGCCACAACCATCCGTGCGCGGATTAAGCATGTCTGTCCGGCCACGAGTGTATCAAAACAGTCAAACACATAAGATGTCATCTAGGGTCTGTCCCAACGGAGATTCCACCGCATCAGCGCCCACATTCGGACCGGACTCTCACCACTCACTGGGGTTGACTCGACTCCACGGGGAGCCATGAGGCCCGTACATAGACAGCAGTCTTGTGGTAACTGCGGGACGAGCTACGGCAACACCGATCAGAGCGAAGGGCATGTGCCCTTCGCACGACGCGCGGCAATTGCACAAGCCAAAGGACGGGGGAGGCACGAAATGACAATCCACTACACACGCGCACCTGGTAGTCCATATGTCTCCAGCGTTCTGCTCTTCTGTCGCCGCACCATGGGATCCCAGCATTCGCACCGCTCGTCGTCCTCGTTCCGGGTGGTGCTGACCTTCTTCGTCTCTCGCCGTCGTCCTCTGGCCGTCCTACGTTGACTTCCTTGTCCGCTTCCCAGGCCTGGTTCCATGTCAGTAACGCACCGAACATTTAATCAATCCAGTCAGCTTACCGAGACGCATTCGCAGCCCACCACACCATGACCTCCCCCAGCACCCACCCTGCGCCCGCAACCCACGAAGGCCGCGCGCCCTTCACCTACGACGGCGCGACGTACGAGACCTACTACAAGGTCTTCGGCGACCTCCGCGCGCCGCACGCCGCGCCCCCCGTCCTCGTCGCCCACGGCGGGCCCGGCATGACCCACGACTACCTCCTCCCGCACGCCGACCTCGCCGCGGCGGGCGCCCACCCCCGCGCCGTCGTCTTCTACGACCAGATCGGCAACGGCCGCTCCTCCCGCCGACCGGACGCACCGAAGGCGTTCTGGACCGTCGACCTCTTCCTCGACGAGCTCGAGAGCCTGCTCGCCCACCTCGGCGTCGCGGACGGGTTCGATATGGTCGGCCACTCGTGGGGCGGGATGATGGCCTCCGAGCTCGTCGTCCGCCGCCACCCGAAGGGGCTCAGGAGGCTCGTCATTGCGGACTCCCCCGCGAGCGTCGCGCTGTGGGGCCAGTCGTTCATGCAGCTCCTCGGGGAGTTCCCGGAGGAGGTGCAGGCGACGGTCAAGGCGGGGGAGGAGAAGGATCTGAAGGCGTACCGGGAGGCGGTGTTCAAGGTGTACGCCGTCTATGGGTTGCGCATCCAGCCGTTCCCGCAGGAGTTCTTGACGACGCTCGAGTACCGGTATGGGGACGACGCGGACCGCACGGTGCCGAATGCTGGGTGTGTATATGCGTCTGCCTTTTCGTACGCGGGGCGGGTTTCCTGACTACATGCGCGCGTTCAGGATCCTGAGTGGCTGGACGGTCATCGACCGCCTGAAGGATGTGGACGTGCCGACGCTGGTCATCAACGGGGCGTTCGACATCGCGCAGGACTGGGTCGTGGAGGCGTACCACAAGAACATCCCTGGCGCGAAGTGGGTCAAGTTCGAAAACTCGAGCCACCTGCCATGCTGGGAGGAGCGGGAGGAGTACATGAAGACGATTGCGTCGTTCTTGGAGGCTTGAGTTCGACTGAGCGTGTACGAGTAGACAGTGCAAGAGAGAAATATGCTTTCATGGGGTGTACGTTTGCGAGAAACAAGTGTGCATTGTGTGAGGGGTGCAGAGTGAAAGTGAGTAAGTAGCGCGACTTCGAGTCTGGCACTGGCAGCGGGCGCTTGTTCCAAATCCCTGCGGCCCGGCGGGCCCGGGTAACTCCCTCAGTGCACCAGCGCGTCAACGTGCACACAACGTCCTCTCTCCCTTAGAACCCAAAGGAACAAACGCCACTCACCTCCCAGCGGGTGCACACGCCGGTTCTTCCAAACGTCGACCCCGCAGGCCCCTCCGCCGGCGGGGCACGCGGGCTCCACCGTCATGTACTTATGCACACCGTTTTCACGTTTGAACTCTACGTCGCAACAGCATCTGGAGTCTGAAACCGAGCATACTATGATACGGGTGAAGACCAAAAACTGCGACCGCTGAGATGACCCTGTGGCCAAACCAACTCTAAGGTGCGTTTTCCGACCTGATCCATCCGCGGAGGTGGCGTGTTAAGTACTAGCCGGGTCTTCTATTATGAAGCTGTCTGTGGAGCCCTACCGAAAGTCTCCGCAGACGACGAATCAGAAGCAGTCCTCGTCGTCAGTGTTCGAAGGGCAGTCCCCGTCGGTGCCAGCCTCAGCTATAACGAAGGATGGCGACGAAGAGGGCGAGGGTAGCGATCTCCTCGGAGAAGAACTGCATGCTTATGAACGAGGGTTATGCGGGCGGCTGCGCTGAAGAGAGGTAGAGCGACTGAGGGAGTCAATGACGGACCAAGACCTTTAAGTGAGTCTTTTGGACCCCAAGGTCTCCCGTGTCGTGTTCCTTGTGCAGGTGAAATGGACTAACTGCGCAGCTCGTAGTATCTCCATCCGCCTTCGATGCCACACTTTCGTGCGCAATCCAGTGCTCGACGGATGGCATCAACCGAATGCCCAGCCCCATATTCGAGGAAACCCTCCGGGGAAGACCTGCTCCGGTCAATCGAGGTCGATTATGGGGTCCTACGTAAGTATCCCAAGTCATTCGTGCCCCGGGACGCCGGAACACAATCCGAACCAAGGCGGTGTCGACAGGCTACAGGTTCAATCTCCCGTCCGACAAGTAGGCTCAGATGGCGCTCCCCGTAACACCGGTCAGCAACTTCAAAAAGCGGGCTGCGGGAGTATTCGGCATCAGGGTAGGTTTACATCCTTCAGATCACACAGGTTTAGCATGTTGATAGATATGTCATTTCCGCCGCACAATAATACAACACATGATTTACACCGAACCAATCAAAATCAACGCTAATCCCCTCGGGGAATTCCTAAACAATCCGCTGATGAGTGCGAGACGACAACTAATTATGTACGTATTTGACTCACCGACTAATATGCTTAGAAGCAGTCCTCGATTTCGGTGCTGAGCTCGCACACATCGGGCTCTATTGGACAGTGTCATGGTCAGTATTGTGATCCAAGACGTCGTGACGTTCGAGGTACGTACTAGCTTCCGGGGCAGGAGCAGCTTGGACGGCGAGGACAAATGCGGCGAGCGCGACGACGGCCTTGAGCATGAATTGCATGGTGGAAGTAGGGACGACGATGAGGATGAAGACGGTGAGAGTCGGCTGATCCGATGCCTGATACGAACTACCTCGCAGCATTTAAATACTGTCCCCCCCGCCTGCTATCGCGTCGAGTCGAGGTGGTGACGGGCTTCGACGCCGGCGAGAGGGACAGACTAGGGCCGCCCCAATCAAACTGTGCAGGTGGTGCCAGCTCACCCCGATCCATACTACGTCTCTTATCGACTGATTAATCTGCCCAGCACTGGTCGCACAAACACAGCTTCGCACCGCGCGCCGTCTGCAACAGCACGTTTTTGAAGCGAGATGGCCCTGGCCTTTAGCCTATGTCGTGAGCGGCCTACTCTCACTTCGAACCCCTGGCTATCTGGATGGGGACGGCGCATCTCACGTTTCGGCGCCTTCTACAAGCTTCTACATTGTCTCATCAGGTGTGTGGCTGTCCAGTGTATCCTGGATAGAGCTTAACGTCCGGTTCCAGCGCGTGAACAGTCTAGACCAAAGATTGGAACCGTCCAACTAAGGTGGCAAGCACTCCGTTGGGCAAGTCCCTCGTCTTGTGACATAATCACCCGCCGCCTGCTCCTCCTCCCCATCATGATCGCGCAAGCGGGCGCCTGGATGGTTCATTGCGCCGACAGCTACCGACAGTGCCCGAGGCGAGCCTTCGAGCACTCGAGCTCCACAATACCACCGCTGACCGGCGGTCGGCCTCCATACGGAGAGCAACGATGACGCTGGACGGACGCCCCACGCACGGTGTTACGTCGCGGGGCGGTGCGATCGGGCAATCGAGACAATAACCCCGCCGCCCCGTTCCCAAGTTCGACCATCTCCTCGCCCATCGCCCACCAAGTTCCTCAGACCACTAGCTAGCTGCATGATGTCCGTGACCGTCCGCAAGGTGTCCAATCCTTCTCGTGAGGGCACTACCTCCTCGATCCGCCGACGCGTGCGCTGACCGGACGCGCGCAATGGCAAGGACCTCACCGAGTCGTTCGACAACCGTGAGTCACCCCCACCTCCACCGTGTCCCGCTGCTGACCCGCACGCGCGCCCCCACGCAGAGGCCTTCGTAGGCGGCGTCGTGTCCCGCCGTGTACATAGCTGCACATCCCTCTATCTCCCGCACCGGGGTCTGTTTACCATAGCTAGGGGATTAGTGAAGGGGTGGGTTTCTTTGCAAATACAGCAGGTCCAGTAATCCCTTTGGTCATCCGCTTGACCACTGTCGGAGCCGGTCGTCAATATTTGCGCTCGGTAAGAACCAGGCCGAAGGGGTGAGCTCTTTTGAGCTGTTCAAATCGGCCTCCCGCGGGTGATCGGTGAAGGCCGGCCGGTCCAACGGTTTTAAATCTTGGCCAACTCGACCGCGGTGGGCCGTTCTGTGCCTTGGCGGTCGCCCCTACTTGCTTGTCTCTGCCAAAATATGTCTAGTAGAACAAATAGATTTACTTTTGATCGGGCAGAGCCATTGGAGTGCGAGCTCACGAACAAAGAAGATCACTGAAGGCTTGCAGGCTGCGGCGCAAATTTTACAGCAAGTCGTTGACGCCAGATGCACGTTAGTAACCACGGTCTTCTCTGGGCATTCAATTTCAGATGGGTATAGGCCTTGTTATGCTTCGGATTTGAATCCGCGAAAGCCGGGGTGCACCGTTTTTGCAAATACGCTTTATCAGAGTGTTTGCGCATTCTTCGTGCCACGACGGGCACGTACTCTTTGAAGAGGAGTTAAAATAGGGTAGGTCTCGCAAACATATCTCATGGCATACAGAACACTCGCCGCCGCAAATGTAGCTCGCAGTTGACAATGACGCGCTCGGGATCCTCGAAATTTGGGTATGCCGAGCGATGAATTTGAAAATTTCGCAATGGTCGAATGCGGCTGAGGGCTGAGCTGATGAATTACACCCACGTACAAGTGAATGACAGAAAGCTGGCGTCGACAGCTCACGCGCCGGGATGAACACGCCTATAAAAGCCAGTCCACCGAGCGAGCGTGAACACCATCCCCCGAATACTCGCAAACTTCGTCCTCGAAGCAATCTTTTTGACCATGAAGTTCTTCGTCCAGCTCGCCGCCTTCCTTGCCCTCGCGCTTGCCGCCCAGGCCGTTGTCATCCCCAGTGAGTTGATCGAAGCCAGTGACGCCAGAGGCAGCATGCTGAACCCGAAGCCCACTTGTGCAGAATCCGATGAGAGCGTTGACGGCTGTGCGCCGTACAAGGGCTCCTGCTACTGAGTGTCTTCTGCCATGTCATGTGTGAGAAGCTATTCATGTATAATGACACTGACGTACTCACTGTGTTTTCAGTGCACTCTGCGCTCGGTTGGCACATCGGCCTTTGCTCCGGGCATTCCTGAGGGACATGGGGCTTTGCTTTCACCACCGCTCAGCTATATTGGCTTAGTGTGCACCATGATACTATGTTCCATGCATCCATGGAGACGCTCCTTGTAAAGCGTACATACATATTTGTTCGTGGAATTATACGGGAGTCCCCATCGTATGCAAACAAAGGGCGAGATTTGATTTCTGTCAAGGCATACTGCGCGGATCAGCAGAACGGAATAAGATACTATGGGACCGCCCACGAAACTGACACCACGGAGACGGTTGATAGGGTTCAAACTTTACTGCTGGTGGGTAGCAAGAACCTCACATAAGCACCAGCGTGGCTGAGCAGGACGGTAGACGACTACACCAGCGAAGTAAGCAGCAGAGTGAACCACCGACGTTGGGGTGACCGCTTGAGGCAAGGTGTTCATACAACCCTCTGTATTAGCACAACGAGATACTCATCTTACAGTTCGTCCCGAGTCCTAGCGACGTAGTCGGCATAATTCGCCTCCGCCGCATCGTACACCGCCGTCCAGTCCCTGCACTCGTGCGTCACGTCCGACACCGTCGTCTGCGCATCCGTGTTCGACCGCAGGTGCTCCAGCCGCGAGTCCCCGCGGCACATCGCCGACTGCCGCAGGTAGTTCAGGCAGTGTCCCGCCATCTCCCGCTCCCGCCCCGTCAGCCCGTCCACCCTCTCCTCCCCCTCTCCGTCCGCGCGCCGCCACGACTCGTTCGTCCCGGGGGCGTACGAGTCGTGGACGGCCACGAGCTGCGCGCGCAGGACGTCGAGGCACCGGAGCTGGTGGAACATCCCGAGCGTGAACGGGCGGCCGGCGGGGCCGAGGCGGACGGTCGCGCCGCCGCGCGGGAGGAGCGCGGCCCACGCTGCGGCACCGCGGTCGGGCGCGTCGGCGAGCGCGGCGGAGTAGTGAACGCTGTCTTCGTGCGGGAGGCGGACGGCGGGGAGCGCGGCGAGCGGCCACTCGGCGGGGAAGTCGGTGCCGCGGTATGCTGGTTGAAGGGGGGGTGACGGGGTGCGGGGAGTAGTGGGGTTCGCGGTACTCACTGTATTCGTGGGCGGGGGGCGGCGGGGGGCGGCGGAAGGGGATCAAGGGGACGACGCGGGCGAGGAGGAAGAGGGAGGCGGAGACGACGAGGAGCGCGGCGGTGATGCGCTCGAGGAGGGTGAGGCCCTTCATGCAGGCGAGGGAAACGGGGGGCAATGGGATCTGGGAGCGCAGGCCCAGAAGTGCAGACGCGGCCTCCACTCCGAGTCCGAGACTGAGGCGAGCACAGAGCGGGGTCGAGGAGGGTCGAGGAGGAGCAGAAGTCTCCCGCGGCTGGCGTCCGGGGACCGGGACCGGGGCTGGCTCGGCGGAGCGCGCCGGGGGCCACACACGTGCTCCGGCCCGAGGCTGCGATCCCAAAGGAACGCCAAGTATCTCATACCCACTGTTGCGGGATCCAGGGCAAGCGTCCGGCTTTGCTGAACACGGAAAAGTGCATCTTTGCTTGACAGCTGGTTCTTGAATCTTACATGATCAACACGCTCGAGCAGGCACACCTCGCCCACTCGGCCAATCTCGCCATGTTCACGAGCAGTCCCTCCGTAATAATCAGGGCTTGGCTTCTTTCCCCCGGACCGGACGATCAGGCTAATCATGCAAGTAGCACGGAGAAGGTTGGTCCGCAGACACCGCGACCCAGATGCCTGGAGATCTCTTGCTTGCAATCCGCTGATAGTAGGCACCATCACGCCCCGTGCTCACATCCGCCTCTTTGACAGAGATATCGACCGCCGGTGTGCCACCGAGCCAAGCTTTCTAGTGCCTTGGAAGCACATGGTCCACAGAGAGCGTGTTCTAAACGAGGCGTTTTTCGGTTGACAGTGGACCGTATACTTGAGATTCTGAACATACCACAAGAAATTGTGCCAATTGTTCTCACACGCAGAGCGTTCGGTACTGCGGATATGTCTGCACTGCCCAAATGCGCACCCTCTGATGTTTCTGACTTGCGTAGGCTCGTCGTAGAACCCACTGAGCAAGAATGTTCGTGCTCCGAACTTGGGGAACTTGGCAACGATCGTCCAGTCCTTGAGAGAGTCCGTGATCTCACACTCGCTGGTCAAGGCTGTTCGTACACAGGCATGAGCCACGGCAGAGTGCGCGTACAGAGTGACCTACATGACCTGATATGCAGTGGTATTTGCGCCTTCGATCATAGCGAACGCTTCTACGGCTTCTTGTGGCTTGTGGTCGAGGCGGACCGCCTGGACATCTTCGGGATGCTGCTCTGCCATCGAGGCGACATATTCCGTAAGGACGAGGCTCTGCAATCCTGGAGGTTGCGCGACCGCGTGCAAGAACGAGCTGTGGTCTCGGAGGCAACCGAGGGGCAGGAGGCGCCGAGTGCCCCGGAGCGCCCATCCCGTTGGACGCCGGCGCTGAAGCTGAAGCTTTGGGTTGCGCACCTTCGCTTCCTGCAGCCCAATGCAGTCCTCAGTGCCCGAGATTTGTCTTGACGTTGACACATTCAAGATCAGGTAACAATGGGTATTTTTCACAACGATATACACTGCAGCAACAACAGCAGCACTAGTACAGAACCACGGATCCCCGAAGGGCGGAATAGATAATTGTTACGACTCTCAGACGACTAGCAGGGCCAAGTCGTCATGAGCGGTGCGTCACCACAGGCTAATATTCACTCGTTAGCTCGAGAAAAGCGCGCCTCAGTCACGATGCACGCACTGTGTGGGGAAGACGCTTAGAAGCAACTATCAAGGCCGCGGTTGCAGAGAGCACCGTCAGTGCCGGCCTCAGCTAGAGAAAAGCCAGGGGTCATCAGTCAATGCGAATCGGAGAGCGCTTGAGGTGGCTACTCACCGGGGACGGCGACAGCCTGGGCGGCGAGGGCAAGGGCGAGGACGGCGGCGATCTTGGCGAAGAACTGCATCGTGGAGATGGTGGGTTGGCAATTGAGAAGAGAGGTGAAGTGAGAGGTTGGATTGTCGCCGCGATTGGAGCTCGAGGGGATGAGGTTCTGCTCCCGTTTCCGCCTCGTCCTTTATACATTTCGCTCACCCCCTCGGACGTCTTGGCCAGGTCGCCCGTATGTCACGCCCCAATGGCGTAACGCCCAGAGGGTTTGCGGCCGCTTCGTGGCACAGCCAATTTGGGCGGATTTTGATCACTGCACCCATCTGTGGAGGGGCCAGTCCTGTCCCCGTGGTCCTTCCACGCCCAGGAATCCTTGCCTTCTCTCTTGGCCTGAGATGGCATCCTCCCGGAACAGGTTCGTTCACCGACCGACCGTAGCCGCCAATCAATGACGCCGGACCGCGGTCGGGGCGGAGGTCCCCACATCATAGCGTGCAGATGCAGGTCGAGATGCACTCAACGGCGGAGTTCCTGCCCCGGGCGCATCCAACATCCTCATCAGATACTTGCTCGTCAGCGAGGCTGCCACGCCCAAGTCCGGGCACTGCACGACGTCCCGTCGCCCGAGATAAGCCGCCGTGTAGATCTCCGTGAATAGCACGCGCAAGTTGTGCTCGCAACCCTCCGTCCGTATTTGTCCAACGACGGGGTAAAGACAAGCCAAGAATGGGATCTCGTTCCAACACCCAGGCTGACCGGCAATTCCTTCGGCGGGAGCTGAGCGTCGTGGGCGACTCGGCAGGCACGGAAGTACGCATGTACATGCGGTATGTATGCAGGCACCAGAAGCCAACAGCTGCGATCCCGCCGCGTTCGGAGCACAGCGGGCTTGATTGAGAATGAGATCACAATGCATTGGCGAGGCCTTTTCCCAATCAAGCCCGCTCTGCAGTCTTGGTCGAACTTCTGCTGCTTCTGCTGTTGGTACCTGCATGAGCGAGCACGTCCAGCGCTAGCCGCTCTGCCCACCCATTGGACAAAGTGGAGTCTTATCTGAGTACTCACCATCCCTCACTTTGCTCGCTGCGGAAACACGCCGCCGTGCGAAGCCTGATGGAATACATTGCAGGGTATCTTACAACACACACAGAACCACATCCCTTTACTCCTTCTCGGTGTGCTTGATGAACACGCCGAACGGCAGCTGAGCACCGTTCACCCATGTGATGGGCCCGGAGCCCTGCATTGTGTAGCCAACCGCCTCGTACATCTTCGCGGCCCCCTGGGCGTGCAAACAAGGGCGTCAGCGCAGCACGTCAGTCGACAAATGGGCACTCACCCCGCCGGCCATGGTCTCGAGGCACGTCGGAACCTTCTCCTTGCGAGCCTGCGCCGACCCCCGTGAGCACGACCGAAAACCTCCCCGACGAAGGACGTACCCCGGCCTCGACGGCGTCAAGCAGGGCCTTGCCCGCGCCCTTCTTCTGGCAGGACTGCTTGATGCCGATGAGCTGCAGGTGCCACGCGCCGAGCTTCACGCCCGCGCCAAGCACGGACTCGACGAGCACGTCGTACTCCGCAAGGAACTGTGCGCGCGCAGAGCGGCATCAGCCCACCGCACTCTCACCGCGTCCGACGGCCGCGCAGGGACGCACCTTCGGCCACCAGTCGCGGCAGGTGTCGTCGAGCTTCGCCATGAGCTCGTTCCAGCCCGCCTCGCGCTGTTTGTCGCTGCGCGGGCGCGCGGGCAAGAGAGCGTGTCAGCGCCGCACACGCGCGATCGAGGACGACATACGTGGACAGGAACTTGAAGCCCGGACCGAACCTGGCGCGCGGAAGTCAACACCCCTGCAAGACCGAGCGAGCGGACGAGGGCACGTGTGCTCACCAGACGCCGACGCCGACGACGCCCTCCTCCGGCATCTCCGCGATCCAGACCTCGCCCTCGCCAGTGAGCGCGGCGGCGACGTGCGCGCGGTGGATCGGGACCTGGAGCGAGACGTCGTTCATGAGGGCGCCCGCGAAGAACTCTACGAGATCGCGCGCGCGCGCGGGTCAGCGGCGGGGCGCGGGGCAGTCGAGTAGAGGCGGGGATGGCGCACGGTTGTTGAACGAGTCGGCGAGGACCTCGCAGTAGTTCTGGATCTCGGCCTCTGCGCGCGTCCGGTCAGCGCGGGCATCGGCGGATCGAAGGGGGGGCGCGCTCACCAGAGGGGCTGGACACTTTGCGGACGGTCACGGACATGGTGCAGCTAGCCGGTGCTCGGAGGGTGGTGGACGATGGGCGGGGAGATGGTCGACCGGAGCGCGGCGACGGGGGTATATCACGTTAGCGCAGCTTGATTGCCCGGGCGCACCGCCCCTGCGTGGGGCGTCCACCCAGCGTCAGTGTTGCTTTCCATATGGAGGTCGACCGCCGGTCAGTGACATCGTAGTGCTCGAGTGCTCGAAGGTTCGCTTCGGGCACTGTCGGCGCAGTGGTCCGTTCATGCGCCTGTTTCAGGGCGCAGGACGAAAAGGGAGTGCTTGTCACCTTATTGGACAGTTGCGGTCTTCAGTCTGGACTCTGAACTTCTGTCCACGTGCTGGAACTGGACAGATCGTACCTCCACGTTTCTATTCAGGATGCACAAGGAAGCGAACATAAGCCACATGCACACCCTGCCAATGAGATTATGTACAAGGCGGCGCCGAAACGTGAGATGCGCCGTCCCCATGTAGATAGCAGAGCGTTCAAAGTGGGTGAACGGCGGGAGTAGAAGTTAGAGCACGATGCTCACCACCTAACGCGTTCTGATGAGACGTTGGCAAAAATGAATGATCCGATGACAGACGTACCGTACATCTCGGAGGAGAGCTGCCCACTTCGCCTGCGCACTCCGATGAGAGTCGGGGGCCGCCCGGTCCGTCCCTCTCGCCGGCGTCGACCCCTGTCACCACCCTCGACTCGACGCGATAGTAGGAAGGGGGAGAACAGTGTATAAATACTGCGGGGTCGTTCGTAATGGACTCATCGGACCATCCGAGTCTCAACGCCTACACCCTCTTCGTCGTCCCTACTTTCATCCGTCTTCAGTCATGCAGTTCATGCTCAAGGCCGTCGTCGCGCTCGCCGCATTTGTCCTCGCCGTCCAGGCTGCTCCTGCCCCGGAAGCGAGTACGTACCTCGAACGTTACGGTGTCATGGATCACATGATACTGACCTGTCCAATAGAGCCCCAGAACTCGTGCCCGAGCAATGACTCACTCGAGGACTGCTTCTAAGCATGGTTCCCAGTAAGTCGATGACATAGATAGTTAGTTATTACCTCCCGCTCATGAGCGGATTGTTTAGGAATTCAACAAGTGGAATGAAACCGTAGTAGCGTTGACTTTGATTGGTTCAGTGTCGAGCCTGTGTTGTATTATCGTGCGGATTAAATGAAATGTCTATCAACATATTGAACCCGTGTGATCTGAAGGATGCCTTTTGAGCTTGTTGACCGCCGGCGCTGTGAAGAACGTGGAGAGCTTGTGGAGAGAGTCCTCTGAGCCTACTTACTTCATGAGATTTCGGGGTCGTGGGACGTGATCGGGATAGTTTGGGCGGTGGAAGTGTCCTCTTGTGGGCACGGAGGAGAAGCGGACGGACGGCAGATGCACGGTAGATGGTGGTGGATATATGTACAGGAGCATTGACGGCGAAAACCTAGTAGCGTACGATATGGTCGGTGGCGTGAGAGAGATGTGCTACGATCACTTACCTAATCGGGCGGCCCGAGGGTTCCACCTCTGGCTACCTCAAGTGCCGAACTCCAACATATATATTTGTTGAGAAAATCTCGGACAAGAGATCGAACCCGCGGCCCACCGAAACAGCCCCGGTTTATATCCGCGAGGCGGGGCACGCAGAGGGCGTGGGCGAGAGCGAAGCCGCCACCCATGCTCGAGAAGTTCCCGCATCCTGGCAAGTCCTTAAAACGTATGACACGTTTCCTCACCTGCCGACTGATACTGATGTCTCATTCATCAGGTTCTGGCAGCGCGGGAACTCGAGGGGTATTGGTGAAAGAAAAACGCTGGTCATACGAGCGCGAAATGTATCATGCTGAGGGTATACATGATATCCGACCAGTGGAAACCTTGATATCCCCGCCGTGAAGAAGAACGCTCCAAGAACGGACGTCCGTAAAGCGCTCTGGCAGGTGCACGCGGGCGCACGTCGTCACCAGCTCGGGGCGACATTCACAGTTAAGAGCCGAGACGCTAAGCAGGCACATACTTCCCCACTACGTCCCTCACAGTGGGCGCAGGTGCATGTAAAACTGTCCAGAACAATCAAGAAGTTCCATAACTAGAATATATACGTGATCGTGCAGAACATATACCGTCAAGGACACATCACGTCCTATCTCCTCCATAGGTACCGCCCCGCCGCTGGCCTGTCCGGCCTCGGCGTCAAGGAATGCAGAACGCTCGGTCAGAAACGTGCACGGAGAAGAAATGTCATCACCAACCATATCCAGTCCGCGCCTTCCAGTCGTGGTAGTTGCTGTCCATGAGGTGATAGATGGGGTCCCAATTCTTGCACACGTGTACCCCATTCGTCCGCTCCACGCTGAAGTCCCGCTCCTCCAGGTCAGGAGGTTCGAGCGCGAGGTCCGGCGCGCACAGCACCTCTTGGCGAATGTAGTTGAGGTAGTGCCCGATATGCCCCAGCGTCACGCCCCGCCTCGGAACGTGTACGCCCGGTTGAGCATCCGCAGGCAGTGGAGCTCGTGGAACATTGAGGTGACGAAGACGCGGTCCTCGGGCCCGAGGCGCACGTAGTCGTAGCCTGCCGACGATGCCGACCTCCAGGCCATCTCGGAGTCGTTGCCGATGGGGAGGTAGTGGACGGTCTCTTCGAAGGGCACCCTGGGTCCCTCTGGGAGTGGCAGGAATTGCGGAAAGTCGTCTCAGATCCACGTTGTCGCCGTGTGCTAGGACGGGGCAATACAAGCAGCGAGTGTGGGGTACGAACTATACGAGACGTTGGGCGTTGATACGACGTTGGAGACGCTCTAGATGTACAGGAGATGGTGACCAGAAGTCCCATGGCTTTGGCCTGAGGAGATAGCATGGTGTGGAGATAAGGCGGAGGCGAGGAAACAAGGAGTAGTACTTTGAAAGCTGCTCAAGTCGAACCTGCGTGAGAATGCGCCATGCGGAAAGGCACGAGACGCGCACCTATTTCGGCAGAAGACGCCTTCCGGGGAATTTATGGACAGTGAACTGTGGGTGTTCTATGTACCGGGTGACCGCTGGGGGTGTTCACTGTTTGTACACAAGCAGTGTGTGCAATGAAACGCCCACTGCCAGGCGTACTCAGGGGGACCTTCGTGGTTTGAACCTGCTAAAGGAATTTCTCAGTTGATATTTCCTTGTGCACTATAGCCACCTACACTTACCAGGGATGGAGCTCATACGAGCTCGGGCGTGCGGTCGCGGTCAGATGCAAGAGTTGAGCCACCGCTCAGGGAGACCTTAGCGGGCGTTTAACGCTTGATGGTGCCAAACATTGCCAAACATTCCTGTGCCAGCGTGCTGGCAGACGTCATAGTTGTCAGGCTTGTTAGTAACGCCCACACTCTCATCTTGTCCGTTCCCTTAGTACCTCCTTTAAGCCATCTATTGATAGAAAGCCAAGCTTTGACGTTTCGTCCTTCATGTTTTTACCAAATGTCTGAAGGGCTACCACTGACAGGAATCAGGATGCTCCTCGAGAGCAATTAGTGCAGTTGGTTAGTAACGTGCAGTGGCACTGAGGGATTTCAAGCAATTCCGCTCTGCGTAAGTTATAACAATTCTCAACACACAGATGAGATGAAGAATTTGTTTCTGGGGCCCAAAGTTTGCTTAAATCGTTACCCATGCTATGCCGACTCATCGCAGAGTCAATATTCCTCCGAAAGCTGCGCATGGCCGTGTTCCATGTCGCGCCCACTGTCCATCTATCCAGGTCAACCAACTGTCATCGAAACATCGAATAGATTCATGAACCAGAGGAACTGAATGTGAGTGTTCTTCCCTTTCCGTTTGTAGACACATTCAGTTCATCCCAGGAACCTCACCGCCGGGGCCTTCCACTGCATATCGCCGCCGGGCTTTTGATACCTCTACCTGCGTCCGCTCGAAGCATACCGTCTCCTCAACCACCGTGGATCTACATTGGAAATCCGTTATCATAAGCAAGGGCTCTATAGGACTCTACGTGGTCGGTGCGTGCGCCGTGGAATAGACTCGAGCGTTCCACAAAGGGTAACGGGAACCCTCTCCCGTATGATACGCGCTCCGCCCCGCATATACTGTGCACACCGTCATTCACGTTTGAAATTTAGTCCCAACAACGTCTGAAGCCAGACATGCTACGGACACCATCATTTACAGCTGCGACCGCTCAGATAACCCTGACGCCAAACCAACATTAAAGTACGTTTTCCGACCTGATCCATCTGCGGAGGTAGCATGTTAGCCGAGTCTTCTATTATCAAGCTGTCTCCAGAGCCTTACCAAAAGTTTCCGCAGACGACGGATCAGAAGCAGTCCTGCCCGTCGGCGTTCAGAGCACAGAGCACGTCGGTGCCAGCCTCAGCTGCAACGGAGGACCGACACAACTTGTCAGCCTGCAACGCTCCTTAGGAGTCTCGGCAAATGCGTACCGGGGGCCGGGATGGCCTGGACGACGACGAAGAGGGCGAGGAGAGCGATGACCGTGGAGAAGAGCTGCATGGTTATGAACGAGGGGGCTGCGTTGAAGAGGGGTAGAGCGACTGGGGTCGACGAAGGACCAAGACCTTCAAGTGGGTCTTTTGTACCCCAAGGGTTCCCGTGTGGTGCTCCTGGACTGACCGCACAGCAGTGTGTCCACCCGCCGCGGATACCGCACTTTCGTGCGCGGTCCAGTGCTCGACGGATGGCATCAACCGATGTCGGCCGTGCACCTGGCGTGCCCGACGCCATAATGGAGACAGATCTCCGAGGAAGACCGGGGATGGCTTCTGCGGTCAATCGAGGTCGATTATGCGGTCATACGGGAGTACTATGCCGAGCCATTCATGTTCGGAACGTCGGGACAGAATCTAATCCAAGGCGTTTTCCACAGGCTACCAGGTTCCATCACTCGTCTGAGATTATCTCGACGAGTAGGCCCATAGTGCGCTCTCCACGCGCGCGGGCCAGCAGTCCAAAAGGCGGGATACAGCCTTACAGGAATATTCAGTTCGTTCAAATCACACAGGCTCGGTATGTTGATAGATATGTCACTTACTCCGCACAACAATACAACACAGCCGAACCAATCAAACTCAACGCCAACGTAGAACGGAATAAGGTAATATGGGACCGCTCACGAAACCGACACTACAGATATGGTTGGTATTCTCAAACTTCACTGCTGGTCGCGTAAGTGACGCGTGTATCCCTAGCGAGAAGGACGGCGACTACGCCAGCGAAGTAAGCGGGAGGGCGAACCAAGACAGTGCATGTTGATTTTGGAGTGCCCACTTGTCGCAAGCAACCCTCTGTATTGGAACAACGAGATAAACAAATTACACACCCATCTTACAGCTCGTCCCGAGTCCTAGCAACGTAGTCGGCATAGTTCGCCTCCGCCGCATCGTACACCGCCGTCCAGTCCCTGCACTCGTGCGTCACGTCCGACACCGTCGTCTGCGCGTCCGTGTTCGACCGCAGGTGCTCCAGCCGCGAGTCCCCGCGGCACATCACCGACTGCCGCAGGTAGTTCAGGCAGTGTCCCGCCATCTCCCGCTCCCGCCCCGTCAGCCCGTCCACCCTCTCCTCCCCCTCTCCGCCCGGCGCGCGCCGCCACGACTCATTCGTCCCGGGGGCGTACGAGTCGTGCACGGCCACGAGCTGCGCGCGCAGGACGTCGAGGCACCGGAGCTGGTGGAACATCCCGAGCGTGAACGGGCGGCCGGCGGGGCCGAGGCGGACGGTCGCGCCGCCGCGCGGGAGGAGCGCGGCCCACGCCGCGGCACCGCGGTCGGGGGCGTCGGCGAGCGCGGCGGAGTAATGCACGCTGTCTTCGTGCGGGAGGCGGACGGCGGGGAGCGCGGGGAGCGGCCACTCGGCGGGGAAGTCGGTGCCGCGGTATGCTGGTTGAAGGGGGGGTGACGGGGTGCGGGGAGTAGTGGGGTTCGCGGTACTCACTGTATTCGTGGGCGGGGGGCGGCGGGGGGCGGCGGAAGGGGATCAAGGGGACGACGCGGGCGAGGAGGAAGAGGGAGGCGGAGACGACGAGGAGCGCGGCGGTGATGCGCTCGAGGAGGGTGAGGCCCTTCATGCAGGCGAGGGAAACGGGGGGCAATGGGATCTGGGAGCGCAGGCCCAGAAGTGCAGACGCGGCCTCCACTCCGAGGCGAGCACAGAGCGCACGGCGTCCGGGACCGGGACGGGCGGGCGCGCCGGTAGCCGCACACGTGCCCAGAGGTTCTATCCAGAGGGAGCGCCGAGTATCTCGTACACACCGCCGGTGCCGTGGGATCCAGGGCAGCGCGTCCGGCTTTCTGAACACGGAAACGCGCACGTTTGCTTGACAAATTCTCACATGTTCCTCCATGACCGACGCGCTCGAGTAGGCACACCTCACCCATTCGTCAGATCTCTAGGGCCTGACCACAAGCAGTCCCTCCGTGATAATCAGGGCCTGGCTTCTCCCCCCAGGACGATCAACCTTATCAGAGAAGTAGCGCGGAGAAGTCTTGTTTGCGGACACTGCGGTCAAAACGCCCGGAGATCTCTTGTTCCAGCATCTCTCAATCGCATACAATCCGCTGACAGGCACAATCGTGCGGCTGCCATGAACCTGGTGCTTACATTCGCCCTTTTGACAGGATATGTTAGGCGACGAGGTTCACGTGAGCCAATCCCGACATATCGACCGTCGGCATATCATCGAGCCAATATTTCTGGTGTATTGGAAGGGGTTGCGAACCACATGGTCCACATTGGAGAGTGTGCTCTCAACAAGGTATCCTTCAGTTGACAGTCGACCGTATACTATACTTGATCGGATTCTGAACATACCACATACCGAACAGATCGTTACAAAGAGAATCTTCTGGTTTTCACACACACAGAGCATTTTCTACTGTGGCATACGTCTAGACCGCCAAAATGCGCACCCCTCATCGTAGAACCCGTTGTGGACTCAGGTGTCTGTATTTTGAGCCCGGGGATCTCGGCAGCGATCGTCTGCCCGTGATCTCGAACTCGCTGGTCGTACATAGCTGTGAGCCACAGCAGAGTGCACAGGAGCGTACATAGTGACCTACACTTGGCGCTTTCGATCATCGCGAATGCTTCTGCAGCTTCTTCTTCTTGCGGCTTGTCGTTGAGGGCGAGCGCCTAGATGTCTTTGGGAAGCTGCTGCTGCGATCGAGGCGACTAAGTCCGTAAAGATGAGGTTCCGCAAGCCCAGAGGTTGCGCGACCACGTGCATGGCAGCGGCCGTCTGGCTAGGCATCCCCGATGGGGTGGTGCTCACTGGCGATGCCCAGATATCCGAGGCTCGCAACCAGTGCGTCTAGAAAAAGCCGTTCACGGGATGTGCCCACACCCGAGTGGATCACAGACTAAAGCGCGCATGAGAGCCTGAGATGAGCATCGAGGTCAACGAGGACAAGGGAGTGCATTGTCCTGGGGCAGCCATGCATGGCGACGGGTCGGGTCGTCCCAGATGCCTGACTTGCTATCGATTCGGCGGTACTGAACCACTCTGGTTGGGCCGTCGCGTACAAGGAACCTTGGCAGAGGATTGACAGACAGACAGATGGTTGTCATCGCGTAAATCGTTTTGACGGCATATAAACAGTGGTCGCTGAATCGAGGTCTTCGGAGCTTCGTATCGTGGAAGAGCTATCAAGGGCGAAATTGCCAGATGTACCCACGCGCGGAATTTGCACTGGTGACGACAACCCAGTCAGTAGATAGATGAGAAGGATCAAACTAAAATGCCTCACACATGCGCGCGCTGCGCATATGCCTTATGGACCTAACATCATCACAGTGTTATCGCCGCCGGCGCATGGAAGAGCGACACTGCATGGCCCCGCGTCACAGGGTGGTCCGGTTGATGGATGAAGCGTCGGCAAACCTCATGATCGCCGATCGACTGAGGTCGGTTGCATACAAACACCATCGCCACATCCAGTAGCACGCAGGCCACGGTGCGCAGTGTGGTCGCTGATATCGGTGCGGGCGATACACCAATGGGGCGGGACACGCGGGGCAGCCTGGCCAGCTCGACCGAGGGGATGAGCGGAATGTATAAAGGACGAGGCGGAAACAGGAGCAGAACCTCATCCCCTCGAGCTCCAATCGCGGCGACAATCCAACCTCTCACTTCACCTCTCTTCTCAACTCCCAACCCACCATCTCCACGATGCAGTTCTTCGCCAAGATCGCCGCCGTCCTCGCCCTTGCCCTCGCCGCCCAGGCTGTCGCCGTCCCCGGTGAGTAGCCACCTCAAGCACTCTCCGATTCGCATTGACTGATGACCCCTGCCTTTTCTCTAGCTGAGGCCGGCACTGACGGTGGTCTCTGCATCCGCGGCCTTGATAGTTGCTTCTAAGCGTCTTCCCCACACAGTGCGTGCATCGTGACTGAGGCGCGCTTTTCTCGAGCTAACGAGTGAATATTAGCCTGTGGTGACGCACCGCTCATGACGACTTGGTCCTGCTAGTCGTCTGGGGTCGTAACAATTATCTATTCCGCCCTTCGGGGATCCGTGGTTCTGTACTAGTGTTGTTGTTGTTATTGCTGCAGTGTATATCATTGTGAAAAATACCCATGTTTACCTTATCTTGAGCGTGCCAACGTCCAGACGAATCTCGGGCACTGAGAACTGCACCGGGCTGCAGGAAGCGGAGGCGCAGAAGTGTTGCCAGCATCAAAGCCGCGCCTCGTTGGGCGTAACTGGCGCTCCGAGATGATCGATGGGCGCTTGACCGGTCTCCTTGCTCGACCAGGCTCGATCACGATCAGACGGTGTCGCCTGGCGTGGCGCGCGCCCGGAACAGGGCGGACGGAGCCCGAGTCTCCAAGGGATACTTAAGGGGTAAACGCAAGCAAAGATTTTCACGAACGCACCGAGTGAGAATATCTTCAGCGCGAGCACGAACAAAGTGCGCATGTAGTGCCTGCGAGATGTGTGTGGATGCACGAGAAACCGCAGAACTCCGCCGATCTGGCACCTGCGATTCCGAAGCACCGCGGCCAAAAGTTAGAACTCCGGGCGCTTCGCACACACGGCCCGATGACGCCATCGCACAGGCGCTAGTAGCCGCGCATGATGTTGACCGCAGGACTGGTACTAGTGTTGCATTTCACCAGATGAGTGGAGGGCTATGAGTGGGCAGTCTCAGAGTTGTGGAGGTGCGGAGCAAACATGGACCGACAAGTCAGCTTCCAGCCTTGTACGCGACGCGTGCGATGTACTAGGGGATGCATGCTGAACCAATGCTAAACGTGAACTCTAGTTCGATTCGCTTATGTGTCTAATTTTCATCGGAGGCTCATCGTTATGAAAACCGCTCGCAGACGAGATCGCATGGGCCACTGAGGTGAGGGAAATGGAGTGCGCAGCGTCGCGGACGACAACGTCCCATTTAACTAGAGGATTGGCATCATACAGACAGAAAGTTGTGGTGGGCGACGGAATAAAAACATTGGTCTCTACAGAGAGGTTTTCAGGGTTTCTTATCGCTGAAGAGCTGTCAAGTACGGTACAGTTTGTCTGCTGTTTGGCGTGCATATCCGGACGAGTCCCGCGCGGCGCGGAAATTATTGGCAGCGACAATCTGGTCAGTGGAGAAATGAGTACCAAACATGAACTCCTCACGCCTGTGCCGCGCATATACCTCAAGGGCCCAACAATGCCATCGCCGGCAGATAGCCCGGTAGCGGGGATGAGTAACTTGAGCGACGCTGCATGCCCCTGCATCACGGCCCACGGGGTGGTCCGGCTGGAGTTCATTTCATACAAACACCCTCGCCAAGCGTGAATACTGCCGCATTCAGTAGCACACGGGCGCGGTCCGGTACGGGTGCTGATGTGGATGCAATGGGCGGTACGCTGAGGCTTGAAACACGCGGGCGGCCTGGCTGACTCGACCGAGGGGGTGAGCGGAATGCATAAAGGACGAGGCGGAAACGGGAGCAAAACCTCATCCCCTCGGGCTCCAGTCGCGGCGACAATCCATCCTCTCACTTCACCTCTCTTCTCAACTCCCAACCAACCATCTCCACGATGCAGTTCTTCGCCAAGATCGCCGCCATCCTCGCTCTTGCCCTCGCCGCCCAGGCCGTCGCTGTCCCCGGTGGGTAGCCGCCTCAGACGTCCTTCGAGTCGCATTGACTGATTTCCCCCGCCCTCTCTCTAGCTGAGGCCGGCGTTGACGGTGCTCTCTGCGGGCGCGACGGCGGTGCTGAGGACTGCTTCTAAGCGTCTCCTCACATGATGTACGGTGCGTGCATCGCGACTGCGGCGCGCTTTTCTTGAGCTGACGACGAGCGCACCTTAGCCTTTGGTGACGCACCGCTCATTACGACTTGGTCCGCTAGTCGTCTGGGAGTCGGAACAATTATCTATTCCGCTCTGCGGGGATCCGCGGTCCTGTAGTGTTGTTATTGTTATTGTTGCAGTGTATTTCATTGTGAAACATACTCATATTTGCCTGACCTTGAGTTTTCCAACGTCCTCACAAACCTCGGGCACCAGAGTTCCTTGAGAATCGCATTGGGCTGCTGGAAGCGGACTCGGACGACGGAGGCGTGGTGGCAGAAGCGTTGGCGTCAAAGCGGCGCCAAAAGCCATCTCGGATGTGACTGGCGCTCCGCGGATGAGCACACGCTTGGCGCTCGGCGCCCGCGCCGCTTCAGAGTCGCACCCGCGGTGCATGATGAGCGCTAGCCTCAGCCTCACGCCGCTCGAGCGCGCTATCGCTGGCATTCTCTTCTTCTTCGCGCGTGGAGTTGCAGTTCCCCTTCCGCCAGTCTGGCAATCCGACAGCAACGCACACGATGGACGAGTGTAGGGACTAGTCGAAGGTGTATACGGTGGCGGCTCGGAACCATGCGGCCTCGACGGTCGTGTCTCGAAGAGTCACTGGGCCAGGACTACGGCGCACCAGCACTCAAGATTTCATGCAATATTCCTAGGACGTTTCGTGCCCCGGTTCTGATGCCGAATGTCCACTCGTAATCTATTCACAGCTTGTGTATTATAAAGGGCGCGGTGGACGGCGCTGCGGGAGGTGGCGCATGGGACTGTCTTTTTGGGTG